AAAGCAAACATTTTTTTATTATTCGATCTATGCAGTTTTTATGTTTATTTAACTTTAATTTTTCCTTAAAAAACATTGCTTCTCTCACATAGAGCATCTCAACACAAAACGTTGCAATAAATGTTTTTCTTTTTTGTTTTTTGTTTTCTAGGCGCATTTTCTAAGGCTACAATTTGTGGCATGCGTTTGGAGCATGTGGCATGTGGTTGATTTCAATAAATTTTAATTTGTTATATTTATTTGTATTGCTTAATAAGTTGAGTGTACTTTCAAGTACTTAAGAGAGGGCATTATATTTATATTTCTTACTTCATAAACTTTGAACAGTTGAAACGGGCTTAACATAACGGCCGCTCGCTGCACGCTGTTAAGTTGAGCAGAGCTAGCGGCGAGCGAACGAGATGGCTAAAGAAACTGTTAAACTTAATGCAAGAAGAGAGCGCAACCAAGTGCATGTAAAACTACACAAAATGTATACATGATGTACATAAACTAAATGTAAATGCTATGTAAAAGTAAATGTTAAGGTAAATGTTTCGGTTATTTATATATATATGTGCTGCTGCTGCTGCTTGTGAGTAAAAGAACTTACAAAGTAATTGTTCAATATATTTAAAATACAAAAAAAAAAAAGAGATGATTAAATGTAAGTGCTAAAAATAAAGTAAATTAAAGTATATTGTTGTATGAAACAAGTTGTTGTTTGTACCTTATATCTATATATCTCTCTATATATATATATACAACATTTTGCGCCAGTTTTTGTTTTCCACTTACAGTAAATACTCGCTACAATATGCATGTAAATCAACAAGGTTTGTTTTCAACAGCCAGTTAACATGGCTATGTAATTGGTTTTTGCTTTTATTTGTTAATTTTTTTTTTTTTTTTGTATAAATTTAACATAATGGCAGCCTTTTCGTTGCCCTTTGCAGCGGTACATTATAGCTAGTGGCAACTGTGTGTCTTATTCTATCAATTTCTATGCATTTTAGTCTCTCAGAAACGTCTTAAGCCCATTTACTTTTCAAATGCATCAATTTGTATTAGTGTGCGGCCTGCCCCAAAAGTGTATTCGATCTAAGTTATTTTGATCTCAGCTGCCGGCGGATTCACCTGATTGTTGTTGCTGCCGAATTTGCCAATTGCTGGCTTCAACAATATGAACTTGGGATTGACCACCGCAGCAGCAGCTGCTGCTGCTGTTGCATTTGGTTTCTTGGCTGGCGTTATGGTCACCGTGCTGGGCGCAATGGCATTCATGGCTGCCGTTTGGTTTGTGGCCGCCAGCGAGGAGGCTGGCAAAATTGTTGTCACTCCATTTTCATGCTGAATTGTGTTTGCATTGTTAAATATTGCACGCATTTTATTGCCATTACTTTGAGATCCTGTTATTGTTGGTGTTGTTGTTGCTCCTGTTATTGTTGCTCCTGCTGCTGTTGCTGCTCCTCCTGCTGCTGCCGTCGTCAGCACATTTATTTTGGGCGCCTGCTGCCGTTGAACGAAACGTGCGGTAAACTCGTTGCCCGTCAGCACCAGATTCTGGGCCTGGCCGCTGATGGGTAAGCCGCTGGCCAGTATTAAGCGTTGCACGCTGCTGCTGGTGCTGCTGCGTGGCTTCTTATCTAGCTGCTGATCATCCTGCTGAAAATTTAAACAGAATATTAGAAAAAGAAGCTCTACAGTTTGAGTGCCACTGTAAACAAACGATGCCCTTAAGCAGTCTTATGCATTAGAACAGGACGGCAATAGCAACACTTGCGCCCATAAAGTAAGTCAAATCGAACTGCATAGTTGAGAACTTAGCTATTTTTAGCTATAGCTAAATTTACCTTCAGCTTAATTTAATTTTGTTCGAAACATAGAAAGTTGCAGAAGCGCCATATTTAAAAATTTCTTTGACAACATTAAGTTATACATTCGAATAATCATAAACATAACATAATTATAGATCTCATTTATGCAGAAATTTGAATATAGCTTTATATTCTATCAGCACTGTTGTCTGCGCTCTGCAAAGCACTCGAATGTAAAGAAGCGAGATGGCAATAGCAGCGCAACAATGTAAATCGCTCTTGTATCAAAACGAGATAATCACATGCATAGATGATTGAACCAATACATTCAGCTGCTGCTGCTGCTCCTGCTGTCTGCGCTTTAGGCAAATATGCTGTTCACTACATAAATAATTAATCATTATCTGCACTCACCGTGGGCGGACTCACAGATTTGCGTTCTAGCACATGCTCATCGAAGCCCGAGTCCGAGGAGTTGTCACTGAATTTGGTGGCCACAGAGGAGGAAGTAGAGCAATTCGATGAGGAAGATAACGATGAGGGCGAGGCAGCACCCACAGCCGTAGTTAAGATGTTTGAGTGCAATGCTGCTGACGTCACAGTCGCAATTGCTGTGGAATGTTGCTGTTGTTGTTGTACAGTTATTGTTGCTGGCTCAGTCTTATTCAATGGAATTGGACTTATTCTATGTACTTCGCCCTGTGGAAATGACTCCGATTGTCGCTTAAAATACAAATGATGCTTCTTTAACGCCGGCGTGCTAATGCTCTGGCTAACTGGCTTTGGCTCTAGTTCCGTCTGTTGCACCGTTGTCGCTACTGGTTCCAGTTCCCTTTGCTGCTCTGGCTGTTGTCTGCGCCTGCGATGTTTCTCGCAGGGCTTATAGAGCTCCGTATCGATTATGTAACAGGCGCTGCCTAGACTGAGGCTCTGGAAGACGGTGCCGCAGCATACGTCCAGTCGCAGCAGATCGTGCTCCTCGAAGAACGGCACATTATCGACGGCACGTCGATTCTTTTTTGGTTCCAGCATGCGCCGTCTCTTGCTGCCCGTATACCGCGAACGTTGTGCAGCACTCTTCTTTAGCAGCGATTCCGTGGCCAGTTGCGCTGCTGCAGCGGTGCGCTTACGCGTCTGATATGGTGTTGCGGCAGTGCTGCCGATCAGCTGTTGTTGTTGTTGCTGGAGCTGCTGTTCGTGCTCGTCGTAGCTCTCGTTGGAATCGCTCGGCTGCTCCTCGGAGTGTGGCGAACTATTGCCATTGCGTTGGTGTTGCTGCTGATTGGCGGAAGAGGGCGCTGTTGCTGCTGTTATTTTCCCTTTGCGATTCTTTTTGAATATCTTGGCGAATTTCTCGGGTATGAAAGAGCCCGCTGACTTAACCTCACATTCGTTCTCTCGCTTCTTTTGCTTGGCGAGAGATTTGGTGCCGGGGCCAGCGCGTGCATCCACCACCTGTTAAAAAAGACAGAGGGAGAGAGGGAGAATAAGTTTCGATTGCAGATGACGCTTTCTCTTTGTTTTCACACTCACATGTCCCCAGTGACGTTTGCTGCCAACAGGCAGCCGCTTGTAGCGCTTGACCAGCAGGACGCAGGCATTGCAGATTTCACCGTTACGCGGCTCATGCAGATTGAAGCATTGCATAGACTCCTTTTCGTATTTGCGCGACGCCGTGAAACGCGAGCTGCTCGACTTGGCACGGCAAATGCAACAGCCGTCCGTGGAGCGATAGACGCGTGGCTTATGGAAGTTGAACATGATGAAGATTTTATTGCTTTATTATTATTGTAGTTTTTGTGTTGTTGAAGAGATTTGTTCTCTTTTTGTAATGGGATTGGGTGCTCTCTTTGCTTTGTCACAAAGTTAACTATTTTGAATCATACGAGTTCTGTTTGCTTAGCAAGTCAATTTTTGTGCGACATTAATTTATTTGTTTTTTTTTTTTTTCAATGGCTTTAACTTTTTTAATTGCTACTTGTGCATAGCTCTTGTTGTTGTTATTGATTTGAGCTCGGACATCATCATCCATCGTCTTCGTTGCGATGTTTTTAGCTGCATTTGTGTTGTTTGTTTGCTGCAAAAGAAACAATGTTTAAAAATAAACTATAAGCAAATAAATTTCAAATTTTAAACAGTCAAAGAAAAAGTAAACAGCTGTGCGCGACAGTGCTGTAAAATGTGTAGTTTCTATGGTCTATTGTGGCAAGTGGCAACGCTGCGAAATCGCAACTCGTTGCATTAAAAATCAAAATATGTATACATATAATATACGTATTTGCATGTACATTTATTTTCATTCAATTGTATTACAAAAATACGTGTGCATAATAAAAGCATTGCCCTTTCCATTGAAAGCATGTGAAAAGAAGAATAAGTGAAAATATAACAGCTGGCAACAGTGTTGCCGTACTTGTGTTTTCTCCCTCATTTTACGACGACAACACAAAAGAAATATTTAATACAAGAAAGAAACAAAAAATATATTAAGCGGTGCACAACTTTTGTCACTCTTATCATCATTTAGCAGGTGGCATGTTATACATGCACACATGTACATACATACATATAATAATAATGCTAATTAAATGCTAAATTGTGTACAGGCAAATGCAAGACACAAAAGCAGCTGACTGAACACGCACACTTGAACACACATACATGCGCACGCATTCATACATGGATTGTACTTTGCAAAGATATACAACACACACACACATACAGCTCGCATGAAGTTTACGCACGTTTGTGCATGTATGCGTGCACTTTGGGGACGCGTAAACAAAGCGTCGCGCAAAAATGAAATACAGATGTACACACACATGCACATTATATGCATGTGTACATAGACACTGCATTGCGTTGGCGCGCGCGCTCGTTGCACTCTCGCACAAAAACAGCAACAACGCATATACGCACATATACACATGCATATGTACACAATTCACCCCGACGTTTGTGACGTGACTTTTGAGCAGCGCCGTTCGCTTTGATTCCAGGTGCGCGTTGTTATTGGGCCTTTGAATGTACATGTGTGTGTGCGTGCGTTTTAATGCTTTTTATTTTATTTTTGGGGACACTGATTTTCGAGCATTGGCGTTCAAGTTGAAAGTGCGTACATACATACATACAYATATACATATACAGGCATATGTGCGTAAATATATATGTGTGTATGTACCGGCGCGTGTGCCACACACACATTCACACTTTCATATACATATGTAGATATGCGCATGCTTCTGTGTGTGTGCGATCGTGTTTGATGCGAGCTTGTTGTTAGTACATTACGTGTACGTGTTGGTAAACGTTGCGAAGTTAAAACGTTTAAAAATTAGTGCAATTGCCGTTGTATGTGGAGGAGTATGGAGGCTTCGATGGACAGAGAGAGAGGGTAGACCTGACCACCTTCTCTTCTAGTCACTTAAGTATATATATGCATATGTGTGTATCTTTTGGTGTTGGTTTGGTGAAAATGTGCCTACTGCGTAAACAGGTTTACAAATTTTTTCTCTCTTAGATATCTTATATTTAGTGCCGGACGCCGACTAGATTGTTGTTGCGGCTGCAGCAGCTGCCCACGCCACGCGCGCTCTACACAACACAGAAGTAATACATGCACACACACACACACACACACGCATACACTCATATGTTTGTCAAAAAAAAAAAATGTTTTGATCTTGGCAAAATTTTCATTTACTCGCGTCTAAAGCCCATATTAAGTCATTAAATTTTAATTTACCTCAACTTCACATCTAATTCACTTGATTTCTTTTGATTGTTTTTTCTTTTTATATTTCCTATTTATTATTTATTTCACAAGTCACTGAAACATTTACTTTCAATTAACATTGAAATAATTTTGAGGATATTTTATGCATAAAGTGCAAATGGAATTTACGGAGAATAACGAAACGCGTCTGCACGCAAGAAACACAAAGACAAACTGACAAACCAAAAATACAAAAAAATGAATAAAATAAAATAAAACCGCTGCGCTGCGCTGCSTTGATGTTGCTGCTGTTGACGGCGACGGCGACGCTGACGCTGCCGACGCCGCTTTTCAGTCGTCACTTTTTCGTAGCCATTCGTCGCTGTATCTGTGCGTACGAGCGCGCCTATGTGTGCGAGTGCAGCGCAAAATGTACGAATCCGAAACAGCGCTCAGAATACGTAGCACAAAGCAAATGCAGTGATAACACAACAGTAACAGCGTAAGGCAGCAAAGCAGCAGCAGCCCCAGCAGCTGAGCGCAAAACAAACGCTCTTGTGTACGTGAGAATGCGCGCAGCAAAAGCAACAGCAAAAAATTCCGGTTGTGAAAAAAAGTACACACACACATGCACACTTTTATGTACGTATTAATACACACAGCAGTATTGAGATACAGTGCGAGCGAGTGAGAGCAACAATTTGCATAACAAGACGGCGTTGCCACACTACACAGAACAAAAGGAGGCAAAACATTTTGAAATTTACTGTATACGTATATGTGTGTATATGTACATGCATATATATTTAGTATTGGTGGTTGCATGTAGTTTGTTATTGTTTGCGTGGCAAGTAAAACACAAATAAGAACAATAGTACTGGCTGATAAAAACGCAAAAACGTGTGAGAGAAAAAGCTGATAAGCGCCGTTGATTGGTTGTTCTTGCTGTTGTATTTGCGGTTCTTGCTACATGTGTACCTACATATATACATATGCACATACATGCATAAATTTAAGACGCAATTCAAATCAAGCGCCACACACACACCCACAAACTTCTATGCTTACTAGTATATTTATAGACCCCCCTCCACAGCAGTGTAATACGTGACAAACGAGATGTAAGCACTGTTGCCACACGCAGAACGAATGTACCAAGGATGGTACAGCATTTAATGGTACACTCCACATGATTACAAATTTGTATTGACGTATAGATTTTTAATTCGCAGAATTATACTTTTAAGTGTAGATTTGCTAGGAAAAAAAGTGATGGCATTATAAACGTTACCATTTTACGGCTGCCTTGAGCTAATCCAATTGGAGTTGTCTTTGCACATCTAATGTCACCATGTAACTAGAAGTGGCAACTCCGTCAGCTGCTGCTGCTGCTTGCACACTTTACAACACTACCAACAAGCAAAATGCAACAAATTGTTGGCAGTCTGGTTTTCTTGTTTTCTTGTGCTGCGGCGAAAGTGTCCGCAAGCGCAGCCGAAAATACATGTCCAAAAAAGATGAAAAAGGTACATAGTTGTGTATATTTCCTTGTCGTGTGCTACGTGCCAGTGGCAACGCCAGCAACAAACAAACAAATAAATCGCCTCCAAAAACGCCACAATCTAGGTCAACTGCACCCGTTATTGGTTGCTATGGCGCTTGCTTGATTTGTTTTTGTTTTTCTTTTTCTGTCTGTTCCTCCTCTTTCCTTTTGTTTACAAAGATGCTAAAGACGCGCAGATGCGCAGCAAGTGGTGAAACACTTGCAAATGCAAGAAAATCAAATAAGCAAGCAATGACAATTTGACCAAATTTGGTACGTTACATTAAGCAACGACAATTTGTTTATATATTTACATATGTATGTATGCGAGTTCGCCTTAGCCAATCAAATTACATTGCAAATGAAACCAAAACAATAACTGTACTTGTGGTAAATGGACTGAATATGGTTAAAGTAGAAGGGGGAGTAATTATGAGCAAAAGTTGAAAAGAACTGCGTGGGCGACTGCTAATAGCGCATTTTATAAATAGATATATGCGTCAAAGATGTTGGTTTATTGTCATACTCGCACACATACGCATACATTCAGCACATAATTAACGATGACCTTGTTTTTGCTATGGCACGCATGAAGAAATCAACTTTCCTACAAACGCACACACTCGCACACACACACACATATTGCGTCTGACCGAAAGTGAAAGACAAGCCTGTCTTATTGGAATTCTCATAAGAATGTGAAAACAGCAACAATATTGATAATAACAGCAACAGAAGGAGAGTAGCAGAGAGTAATGCGTGAAACAGGTTGCCGTTAAGCTCTTTGGCAAAACCAAAAACAAAAACTACAAGATATTCGAAATAACGGTATTACAAACACACACACAGTCGATTTTCATTCAGTATAAATAAAATGCCAGCGTAATACTCAACAATGACAACAACAAAGCAACCACAACTAAAATAGAAAGTAAAAATCTTTAAAAGAAAAAATATGCAACTTTGGGCATTTTAGTTTTAACTTGAATAACTGTTTCTTGACCAACACAAATATATACACATACATGCACACATTCATTGGCTTGCCGTAGCCTGCGAGAGAGCAGAGCGCACCAAAATTGGAAGTAGGTTGCGCGCTCTCGCGCTTACCTGTGTGCTGTGTGCTCATTTTGGCAAAGTGAGCGAGTGAGCAACAGCCATCTGCTTGCTTCAACGCATTGCCTGTTAAGTAATAGACCGAATTCTGTGCATGTATGCATGCATAAACTGTGCATGTGTGTGTGCATGCAGAGAAAGCGCGCGCAAAAAGATTCACTAATTGAAAAAAATATATCAAGTATTAAACGATATGACAGCGGGATTTAATGTATACATTTTGCGAAGTTTTTTTTTTTCGTAGTTCACACACATATACACACAGTCACGTCTGTATTTCCGCACATTTGGGGCTTGTTGTGAACGAGGTTAAGTTGCCGCTGCCATTGAAAGAGTTCATTGTTGGGTTTGCGACCGCCGTTTCGTTTGATTAGCAAATCGAAGGTCAACAACAAATTGTTAACAGCTTTATCTACGCATTTGGAACAGATACACACATACGCAGAATACGCATTCGCACTCGCACACACACACACACTCATACATGTACATACATGCATTTGTATGGAAGTGTACATATGTTCTATTTGTGCGCTTTATGCTTAACCTTCGTTTTTATGCATTTGCGTTCGCTTTATTTTGAATGTTTGGGCTGCTAACTTACAAGCTCACACACACACACACACATGCGCACTCATATTTGCATATATGCGCATTTATTTCTCATTGTTTGGTTGATTTGGTTTCTTACCGTTTTGCACTATTATTGACAGCTTTTATCGCTGTCACTATATTGTTGTTTTTCTTAAATACTTCTTTGAATATTTTATGCACTGCACTCACTCAATCCTCACTTGTTAATTGATATCTTGTTTAAGCACAATACCGCTGGCTTGGACACCGCAAGTGATGGGACAGTTAATCATATGATACACAGTCGATTAATTTGCTTGAATTGATGACGATTCGATTGTGTACGATTAAAATGCAAAGAATTTATTTTAAAATGGCACTTATAGCTAAGTGCAGGAGTTGAATTAAAAAATTAATAAGAAAGGAAAGAAGCTGACATTGTTGTGTTTCGTTGTTGTTATAATGGCATGGGGTCACACCGCTATCGATAACAAGTACATTTGGCGGCAAATCTCCGCATATACTGTGGCAAGATCAGCGCACAGACGTCGTGGTGTGCAATAGTACTAAAAACTTATCTATATTCGTACATATAAATTATATATTATATGCTATATATGAAATAATAGCTATATTTTATGATTTTTGTAATGTTTGCTCATTTGTTTAGGTTTTAAAAAAGTTATAATAATAATGTGGCAGACATATCGGTATTAAAGCTTCTCGATATATGACGTTATGTTATTCACATCCCTATTTGCCGGCAAACACAATACCGAGCGGCAATTGGAACCGCGGATATTTACAAACAACATACAGTAGCCGCATTAATGAGGCTCGTGAAGCCTGGTTGGGTGCATCACGATGGTAAGCAGTATTCCATGCAGCCGGGCATTTAATTCCACTGTGAATTGCTTGTAGATAAACCCATCTTCTCAGTGGATGTGCACCAGGATTGTACGAAATTTGCGACTGGCGGGCAGGGAAATGATTCGGGACGTGTTGTTATTTGGAACCTCAAGCCGGTGCTCTCCGAGAAGGATGAGAACGATGCATCGGTACCCCGCATGCTCTGTCAAATGGATCAGCACTTGGCGTGCGTTAACTGTGTGCGCTGGTCGCAGAATGGACAGCTCCTTGCATCCGGTTCCGATGATAAGCTGATCATGATCTGGCGCAAGGCCCAAGGATCAAGCGGTGTCTTTGGCACCGGTGGAATGCAACAGAATCACGAGTCCTGGAAGTGCATACACACGCTGCGCGGCCACGACGGCGACGTTCTGGATCTGGCGTGGTCGCCCAACGATTACTTCTTGGCCAGCTGTAGCATAGATAACACCATCATTGTCTGGGATGGTCAGGCCCTGCCCAACATGCTGCAAACTCTGAAAGGACATACGGGTTTAGTTAAAGGCGTGGCCTGGGATCCGGTGGGCAATTTCCTTGCCTCGCAGTCGGATGATCGCAGCATAAAGATCTGGCGTACTGTAGACTGGTCGTGCAGCACAACGATCACGGAACCGTTTCAGGAGTGCGGCGGCACCACACACATCCTGCGGCTTTCCTGGTCACCCGATGGCCAGTATCTGGTATCCGCGCATGCCATGAACGGCGGTGGACCCACAGCCCAAATAGTGGAACGCGAGGGCTGGAAATGTGACAAAGATTTTGTGGGCCATCGCAAGGCGGTGACCTGCGTACGCTTCCACAATTCCATACTTACGCGGTATATGGCCGGCGATAGTCCCAGCAAAGCGATGCAGTACTGCGTCCTGGCTGTGGGCTCCAGGGATCGCTCGCTGTCCGTGTGGATGACGGCGCTCCAGCGTCCCATGATCGTCATCCATGAACTGTTCAATGACAGCGTGCTGGACCTGTCCTGGGGTCCGCAACAGTGTCTGCTAATGGCCTGCAGCGGCGACGGCACCATCGCCTGCCTGCAGTTCAGCGAAGAGGAGCTGGGCACACGCGTCCCCGAGGTGGAAAAGAAGGCCAT